TTCCCCGTACCTGCAAACCACCCTAGTACGAGCCGAGGGCTCAAGGGCTGCCAAATCGCCTATAAGCACCATCCTACCTCGCACTTCCAGCGAAACAAGTGATGAAGTATACTAACGACCAAAGGGAACGATAGAGTTGCGGTGAGACCATATACTTTCCAGCATCCTTGCCAGGCGTTCAGGTTCCCACTTCATAGCGTCCTTCATATGTTCGAAGCGTGGAAAGCCCATATCAGATCTGATTCCGTCGTAAACCGGACAGTCCAGCAAAATGTGTTTCTCATCCTCGATGTGGCTACCAGTGCCGCAGCAAGGGCATACTCGCTCCTCCCTAGGTATATAACGCCGTCCCTTACGCGCTCTGTTAGCCGCCAGTGCCCAACAGCAAAGCCTAAACTGCATAAGCTTGCGATTCGCCGAACGTGGGATAAACATTGTGATGTGCGGGAGCACCTCCTTCCTGCCCGCTTGCTCGGCCGCCAGCCCCATCCAATGCTTATACTTCGCCATGTGAATTCCTGGTTGCTTGCCGTCTGACGGATACACGTCAGGCTGGACATCTAAACGCGTATGCTTCCAACCACTCATTAATCGGTCCTTGAACTCCAAAATCACACCTTCTGGCATTGGCTTGTTCATCAGCCACTCCACTCGTTCGTCTACCTCGTGTAGCCCTTGCGGGGCCTCTTTCCATACATCGTGCCCCAAAAAACATAGAAAACGGAGGAGTAGTGTCCCCCATCCGGGCCCTTCGGGGTTGGAGAGGGATTCTGCGACCTCCTGTCGCAAAACTTGGTATGCCACAGACCCACGCTGTAAACGGACATGGTTCCAAAACCTCACAACCTGCTTGAGAACGTGGTAGTGTAGGGGTAGCTGCGATAGCTCTGCGAACAAGAGGCGGTGTGTTGGTCTGGCAGCTCCTACAATTTGCCGCATGAAAGATATCTGAAGCTGCACTGCCCTGTCCTTTAGGCACGCCTCAAAGGGCCCCTCTGCAAGGTTATTCGCATCACTCCGCTTCCTGAGCCTGTCCGAGACCTCAGCTAGCATAAACGGCCCCCACGCTTGACAACCATACAACAGTATTGCTCGTACCTGCGTATCGAAACACCTCATCCTCACATCTGGGGCGAACAACTTTAGCTTATCTAATTTTGCACTCAACGCGAACATAGCTGCTCTAGCTGTGTCATACAACTGCTGGCGGCAGGCCCAGAACTGCCGTTCCGGCCCATACACTAACCCCAGATGTATGTATGTGTCCAGCGCGACCTGGCTTGGGGATCTTCCCTCGTTGCCCAAGCGGCTAGGCGTACAGGGAGACCCCATATGGGGATGGTGGTTGGTGGCAACCGAACGCGCGCCTTATCGCCCATCCGACGCATTTTTTTGAGTCACACAGCATGAAAAGGAGGAGCAGCAATGCTCTTGCGGGCTTTGCTTCTCGGAAAAGTTGCCGTTTAGCGTCCATGGCTTGGCGGAGGCAGTGTAGGGTAATGGCTGTCGGGGGCTATAGTGAACCTGGGGCGCGCGAAGAGGTCGAGGCGACGGGGGAGGAGGGAGAGAGGGCGGGAGAACATTTCTGAGTTCCGAAACCGACTGAGTGGTCAGTCGGTCCTTCATGCACCAGGTTGGTCGGGATGTTATGGTTTTGAGTAAAGGCGGACATACGGCGGCCTGTTCGTTGGGGCTGGCTGTGCGTAGTCGTGCGTGCGCGTTTAGGAGCGAACTAGCAGCGGTCAACCGATTTTCCTTCCTCCATATCGGGCTCGCTGCAAGCAAATCGGACAAATCCTTTCAGTGCCTCAAAGCGTGAACGATGAGCAGGATAGTAAAATAGCAAAAAGAGACAGTACTTCTAGGATAGGTAGGATGAGGACATAAGGATAGGTTGACAGAAAGGTAGGATAGGAGAAAAGGACAGGATGTGGGTGTTACATGAAGCGCAGGCTTATGTTCCATCATCCCGTAGAATCCCTGCTGCCATTGGGCGCAGGGATGGATAGCTGTCAGCATGTTGGCCGTCGTGTCGCAGGTCGCCAGTCAGCGGTTGCTTACGTCGGTGGCTGACATCGTTAGAAGTTGGAGACACGTGTTGTTGTATTGTTAAATTTTGTTGCTGCTGCAGTGAAGTAACATGAACAATTTTACCGGTTATTGCAGCGTTTTGACTTTGTTGAATCTGTACAGATTACGCACTCTCTCTCTTCCCGCCCAAAGCCTGATTGCCGTATCGAGTCCCGGAACCGAAGGTGGCTCGTATCCAACAAATTTATTGGCGTAATTTATATCTTTCAGTGCAAATGAGAAGCACGCCAGCACTTCAGCGCACGCCGTCTTTAGTCAGCCATTACAATCCGTAATTCAGCCGAGTTATTGCTTCTAAGGTACTGCTAGGATGGACATCCTATTCGTCTATTTATGATTGAGTTTTCTGGGGGGTTTGAATCTGGATATCGCTGCTGGTTGAATTGTGCACGCGCAGCCTTTGCCTGGTGCACAGGCGGATTGCTTTGCCTCCTTACGCTCTGCCGATCAGTTTCTTTTTGAACTGCAGTAAATTTTGTCACGTCACGATGTTGAGGAAGCAACAGAAACAACAGCATTCCGCCTCCGGCGCCGGCCCGTCGGCCCTGGACTCCTGGGTTCATTCTGATAGCCACTTCGTCCCTGCTCGCCAGACGCCCTCAGATTCGAACCCACCACCCAGACCACCCCTAGCCAAATCGACAGCCTCCACTATTTTGGGCTTTATCCGCCCCGCGTCTGGTGAGCATGCCCAGGGCCGGTGCGGTGCGGTGCGTCTTCGCATGGCCCTTGCTGTCAGTGTCAGTGGGGTTCCTTATGGGGCCGACCGCAAGTACCGGTAAAGCCTTTCCTTGTCCTGGAAGCGTTAGCGAAAGCCGCTGAGGCTATTCTATTCGCTTTTTTTCATGCGCAAGAGAAAAAACAGCTCTGACTGGAAATGTGTTTAGCTCACTTCGTTCACTACGTTTCGGGATTGGCCTCGAGCCCACGTAACATGTAATACAGGCATAGGACGAAAGTGTGCATCCTACAGGGTTTAGGTCCCTCCTATGGCCTCTTTAACCTCGCTGCCCCCGCTTCTACGGCCGCCTGCTCCTTCCGCCTTAAGGGAGGTCTTTGAAACACGCCCTGTTGCTTGCCCCCTTCCTGTCTTTACCCTCCCCCTTCTGTCGCCATCATGACAAGGCCTTGGTGCCATTGACATCATTGATCAACCTCCCAACGTTGCCAATCTCCTCTCCTCTCCTTTCGCCAAGCAGGTGCTGGAGATTTGACCTCGAGACGGTCCCGAAGCTATGCTGGCAGTGTAGCTTCTTCCATCATCGCCTCACCTGGCGCCCGGAGCACCACCAGCACGGAAACCGGCATGCCATGGGGCGACGTCAGCGGCGGCAGCGGCGGCGACGGTGGCCACAGACCGGCATACGATCGCTCCTATGCCAACAGCCCCTCCAACTTCTACCACTATCACGCCGCGCCGGCCACCACAGCTGCCTCCGCCGTCAGCGCGTCCCCGAGGTCGTTCACTCACCCAGGCGGTGGCGGCGGTGGCGACCAGGACTTCTGGGGGCGACGTTTCGGCGGTGGGACGCCGTACGCGCACTCGGATGCGGCGGAGGCCCCTGCTGGCGGCGGCGGCCCCGGCGGCGGCCTCCTGGCTGCCTCCTCCCACATGTCCGTCGGCGGCGCCAGCCCGGCGACAACGACCGGGCTACCTGAGACCCCGGGTCTGAGGTCCCCGGAGTGGTCGCCACGACGGAGGTCTCGAAGCTCCGGCTCCGCGCCGCCACTGCCGCCGCAGCTGCGGCCGGCGGCGTCTACGACACCAACCGCCTCGGCGGCGACGACTCGGCGGCCGCCGGTTCAACCTCAAGTCAGCGGACTCCAGGTCAAGGCCGATGACCTCCAGGTGCTGCCGTACGCATCGTACGGAAACGTTATAGTTGACGGTACCGGCATTGGCGGCAGAGTTGTGTCGACCTCAGTGAAGGCGGCCGCGAGGCCGAAGGCAGCGGAAGGGCTGGCGGTTTGGGTGCCCATGGACGACGCAGATGAGGAGGTAGACTTTGCAGAGGGTGATGAAGGCGGTTGCGAGGCTCGGGAGAATGGCGATGCTGGCGGGCAGGAGTCCTCGGGACCTACCGTACCTCCGGCAGCCGTGGCGACGGCAGCGACGGTGCCTGTGGCGGTGGCTGCACTGCCAGTTCAGGTGCTGCCGGCGGCATCCGATGCCCGGGAGCTGTCACTGATGTTTGGGTTGCTGAGGACGGTGCGCTGTGCCGTCAGCGCCGCGCTTGGAGAACCTCCTGCGACTGCAGATAACACGGGCACCGATAGCGCGAGGAAAGGAGGAAATGCCAATAACGTCGTTCCGCCAGCGGAGAGCACGGCTGAGCTGACAAGCACTGTGGCCGCCGCGCCTACTTGTGTCCTAATGCTCGTACTTGCCGTACGGCTTTTCCGCGCTGCCGTGCGATGGCCCGCCGTGGCGTCGCTGTGCGGTGCAGTGACGGCGGTGGTAGCGGCGTGGTTGGCGGCGGCGGCGTTGCTGTTGGCCTGCGTCCGCGCTGGCGGCCGCTGTGGTCAGCTTGCCTGGGGCTTTGTGGGCTGGTTACTTGTCGGTCGCTGTAGCAACGCACGGGCTGTGGTAGGGGCGTGAGCTTCGGGTACCTCTGTTGCTGCTGCTGCTGCTGCTGCTGCTGCTGCTGCTGTTGTTGTTACATGGCAGATTCGCGGCGATTACGGGGCCGTTTTTGTTCGGCCGTGTGGGGCTGATGCTGCTTATCTTTTTCCCAGTCATGGCCGGCCATATCTGCCAATCCATCTATCCATCCCCTTTCATGCTTCTGCCTTTCTGTCTATCCGGGCTCAAGCGTGCATTCAGTCATGATGGCATGCCCCCGGATTGCCGTGTGCGTATTTTGAACGCCATTTCGGCTGCAGTTCAGTCCAGATGCCTTACGTTCAGTCAAGTCCAGAACCCATCAGCCATCACCTTCCTAGAGGAGATTTCACCTTCAATGGTGCAATCTAGCAATCAATGGAACACAGGGTGCATCTGTGATCGGTTCATGCAGGTTGCATCGCATGCCTGTTTGCGGTAGTCGATTGCTTATTTTTTCTTACACTTTTAAGTGTATGGCGAGGGATTTTGTTTGCTTTTGTGCTCGGCTTGTGACGCTCGCGAACGAATTTTTTTCCCTTCGGATTCGGATGGTCCTTCGGGGCGACGGGTGCACCCGTACAGGAGAGCGATGATGGCTGTGTGAGAGAGTGGCAGGATTGTTTGGAGCGGCTCGGGGAATATGCTTTTTCGGTTTTTCGTAGGTTTTTTGGTTTTTCGCTGCTAGGCTTGGGTTGGGGCAATTTCTGCGCCATTCCTTGAACCAGTTGGAAGGCGTTGCGACAACTCTTGTTCTTGCACGGTTTCTGTAGTTAAAACGCGGGGAAAGTATCCTATCGTTCAATCTGGTAGCCTTGTATGCGCAACAGGGAATTAGGTCAATACTGAGAATACTGGAATGCAATCTCAGCGCGATCGGTTTCCCAAATGGCTCATCATCCCCAGTTTTGTGTTTTATCTCAGTCACGTAGGTGAGCCAGGAGGGCTACGAGATGTATGCAACGGAGTGAGGCGGTTGACCGGTTGTTAGTTAGGGTTAATTGCAGGGTGCAGCGGCCTTTTAGGCCGCATAGCTAAGTGCTGAGCAGAGAGGTGCTGAGGCGTCTTGCCGGGCCGCGGGTTGGCTTGTTTTTCTTGTGGAGCGTTCCGCCAGCTTACTTTTCTGGCCTTATGGCAATGTCGTACACGCTAAGGGCCAGACGTATGTGTGTATCTTATGAGGGTTAAGTGTTTTGTGCATCATATGCCGTACGTGTTGTTGTGTCTTGTGGAGGCGTATACTGGGAAACGCCTGCGCGAAGTGGAAGTCCAGGAAGCGCGAGGCCGGCCAGATGTCAGTTTGGTCAATCTGGTCATTTCATATTTGGCAATGTTGTTTCTCAACGGTCTGGATATTCTATTTTTGTGTGTCATTTATGCCCTTGCAGCCTTCCTGGACTAATATATAGTATAGCTGAAGCAGGAATGGACCCAGGGTGGAAACTGCGCCTGCCCTTGCTGGCTGGCATGCCCCTTACCGACCTTCTGCCTGGCTGCCTGGTTGACCCGGTTAAATACGTGATTGCTATATTTGTCGTTATTCCTGAAGTAAAGTGGCTGCAGATTGGGGTTTCATTCCGTTCACGTTTTCTGTTTGGCAGGTTGACTGATTTTTGACGAAGTTGCGAAGTGTGTACAAGAGGAGAAACTCTGCTTTGGAATCACGATGTCCCGTCCGAATTAGCAGGACGTCTCCACTGTGCAAATGTTGGCTTCCTGAACATGAGAAAATGAAAGCGACAGGTGCTGCGATTTGCGTTGCCTGTTTTCCCACTGCCCATAATACAAAGCTTAAAAACAAGGCCTTATAAGAAAGGTTTAAATACTAAGCATAAAAGAAAGCACAAAAACAAACCATTGCATTGATACTGCACACGTGGAGCATTCTGAAAATAACTCCTGCAGTCTGCGTCTCGTCAATCATAGATGTCATCAAATATGCTTCAATGAGCTAGGTACTTGGCTAATAAGGTATGGGGCAGGCAGCCAGGACCTGCCGCACAGTATTTACTTGGCATGTACTGCTGCATAAGCACGAGCTGCCAGCTCCCATCGGTAGACAGCGTGCCGCAACTTAATAAACGTACAGGATCAAGGTTGCCTCAAAAACTTTCAAAATAGCAGCATGCAAGATCAGAATTGCAAGAAAAGGATACCATAACCCCGCTCCGAGGAAAGAGCACATAAACGGTAATGTATAAATGGTCCATTCGCCATCGGCATGTCACCAGGATTACTATTTAGATTGTCGTTGCTGTGCGTACGGCGTAGGTTAAGGGGGGTTAACACTTTAACCGTACAGCGTTTTTCCTCAATATCCCGATTTCGCTTTTAACGAACTGCATATATAATAAGATTTTTGTTAACTTATTGATATTATAATTCCGAAGACTTGATTGGCGTTGTCAAGCTCAACGTGAGCCGTTCAGCCCATGCTTCGAGGACTGAAGGGAATAGGCGGTTACACACATCCTTCAACAAATCTGTTCCTGAGGGTGAAGATAACAAGCTTTCGTCCCTCCAGCATGCTGAGGGAGAGCGATGTCAGGAGGAAAGATGGCAACGGCAGACCTCTTTATGGTTAAGGACCCTGAGACTCGACATCGATTTATATTGCAGTACATCTATATCTGCGCAGTAGAGCTGCGCAGTGCTGCGCGTTGTCTCTAAAACACCGCTCGGAAGGAGTCTGCGCGTACGCCAGGAGAAGTTGCATCATGGGCATATGTGCATCCAGCGCCTCAGAGGAGAGCGAGCTTGCCAAACAGGTGCGCAAAACGACTCACCACTTTAACATGCGTCGGATGCGACGGGCGCCCCTGACCGACAGTGAAGCCGCTTATACATCATCCTTAGCAGCATCCGTTTTCTAGAGATCCCCTGGCCTAATACATATCAACTTTATAAGCGCATTTGCTCGTCTCTGGGTTTTGCGGAGGCCTCGACAGGGCTGGGCCACCTCAATAGATGTACCCGCGGCCCGACTACGTCCCGCAAGGCTAACCCACCGACGAAAACGAAATCCAAATCCCCTTGGCTCCCTTGGCTTGGAATCCACCTTGCCCGCCCCCATTCCTTCCTCCCCATTGGAATAAATAACAAATATCACACTCAATTTCAAGAGGGCGCACGAAAGAAACCCAGACTCCCCTTTTGGGCGGGAGCCGTTTCCCCTTTTTAGTCTTCTCTTGGGGGGGGGTCCACTCCCTCTCCTTGTTGATCAGCGTGACAACCGGAACTCAAAGCACCACGAAGCGCGGGCGGTGCTTTTAACGCGAAACACACCGTGTTGTACAACGGGTTATGGCAAAACACAATGCCCAGTGGGGTCGGGTCGCCGGGGGTTCGCAGTTAAAGGGCCATGCGGCAGTACGGCAATAATTTTGAAGCATGCATACTCAGCCATGCATAATACGTACCTGCACAGAATCGCCTAGGTACCTGCACCCCCATGCAACCCCACGCACCCCTGCTCAATCCGCTAGATTACCTACCTAGGAAAGCAAACACGCAAGTCCCGCCCCTTTCCCCCCCGCACACCGCCTCCACCCCACCACTCAAATAACCCCCAACCCCCGCCCCCCCAGGTGCTAGGTTCCACGAAGGCAGATGCCAAGACCGTACGGCGGTTGTCCGCCCTGGGCATGCAGGACGGGGAAGTGTGGGTAACCCGGCAGACATCCGACATACATAAGGTGGAGCGGGGGGTTGGAGGAAATGCGGGTCTGGGGGTTTTTGGGGGAGCATGAGCAGTAGGGACGGCGGGCGGGAGGGCGGGAGGCTGGAGGACTGGCTGGCAGTCGGAGGCGAGGGAGATCATTACCCTCATTTTAAAAGAAACTGATGATAAAAAATATTTTTGCCATCAACAAATATCCTGCATCCAGATGTTTAAATTTGGCGCTCAGCTCAACAAGGGCCAGTTTGGTACCATCCACGTGATAACGAACGCCGCGGGGGACAAGTTTGCTTGCAAGCAAATCAGCAAACGCAAGCTCACTGGGGCGACATCCATCAGAGATGTACGGCGAGAAATTGAGATCATGCACCATCTGCGCGGGTGGGTGTAATGCAGTACAGTACGGAGGGTAATGGACAGGCTGAGTGGTACGGGCAAGTTAGGGGTACAGTTGGCACGCAGCTAACTAAGTTGCTGGGGCTACGGGACTTGCACAGAATGAAGCGGTTAGTGACTAACGGTAACTGTCAACCGCCAACGACTAACCACATCAACTGTACAACCGCCCAGGATCATACATACCTGCATGCGTAATTGGGTCTGCATGCCCTCGCGTATACCCGTCCTCGGGTGGTCTCAAACCTGCTCTGTACAAAAACCCGTGTCACGCCCAAAACTAAGCGGCATATGTCAACTGTTAACCGTTTAACCAACAGGCACCCCAACGTCATTACGTTTCACGGCGCCTACGAGGACGCTAATGACGTGTACCTTGTGATGGAGCTGTGTACGGGTGGGTCAGCAGTCGGGTGGGGCGGTTGTGGCAGTTGTAATGTTGGTTGTGGTGCACCGTTAAGTTGACCGTTGCAAGTGCCGTACATGCTTCTTTCTTTTCTTTCTCCCTATCATCTATCTATATTCCTTTTCATCACACGAAGGGACAAACTTCAACGTTATTGTCGTACTCTTTCCCCCTCCCTTTCCCGCCCGTACAATACCAGGAGGGGACCTGTTTGAGCGAATTGAAAAGATCACCACCATTACGGAGCGGGCCGCCGCGTCGCTGTTTAGGGAGCTCGTGGAAACCGTGTCGTACTGCCACATGCTGGGTGTCATACATAGAGACCTCAAGGTAGAGGGGCTTGTGGCAGCCTAGCGGCAGCTGTAGCAGCTGTCCAGCCCTATAGCCTCGCCGTTATCCGTCACAGGTGTCGTGTCGCGCTTTCCTTGAACCCCATAACTTCAATCACAAAAACCACTTTAATATTGTGGATGATTGTTAGTTAGTTAGTTAGGGTTACACTTCAGGGTTTGCTTTTAAGAAGAAACTCAGGGTGGGCCCCCCCCACCACCACCACCCCCACCACCCCCACCACCACATCCTATGCGCCCAGGAAGAACATCCACATTGCACCGACTGCTCGCCACCGGATTCCCAAAGCACTATCACATAAACCAAACTCTGCAAATCATATCTAAAACCCGCCTAAAGCCTCCCGAAACCGCCTAAAACCCTTTGAACCCGCAGCCCGAGAACTTCCTCATCACGGACCGGAGCCCCAACTCCCGAATCAAATTGGCGGACTTCGGTCTGAGCTGCTTCTACCAGGAGGGGCAGGGCGAGCTGCATGACGTGGTGGGGTCGGCGTACTACATGGCACCAGAGGTTGTACGGCGGCAGTACGGCAGTGCCTGCGACACCTGGAGCCTGGGCGTCATTCTTCATATTCTGTTGTGCGGGTCTCCGCCCTTTACGGGCAATTCGGATGCGGAAATCCTGAAGGCCGTTCGTACACAGGTACCCGGGGGGGCCCACATGTGCGACATGCGTACATGGGGGCCCGGAAGGGGGGGACGGAGGGGGAGGGGTGACGAGCGCAATGTATCTGTAGCAGTACGTGTGTGCATTTGTGTGTCGTACAGTTTCACGTGAGAGGTGGCGGGTTCCAGGGCCCCCGGCTCTGATGCAGGGGGCAAATGCCAGGTTCGCGAAGAACCTTCTCCGCCGCTATACACCGTGTAGTGGTCCCCCATTTTAGAGTCCTCCCCCCCCCTAACCTCCATAGGGTCCCCAACACCCAAACAACACACACACACAAACAGACACACACACAACCCACCTCCCCCCCCCCACACACACACACGCAGACAGATGTCGCGTCATACGACTGTAGCATCGACAAAACACGTGCGTACGTACCACCAAAACGTTCACACTAAAATGTCGTGACACAGAGACGCACACACACACACAGACACACACACAGACACACACACAGACACACACACAGACACACAACTCTCCACAGAACGTGGTGGTGGTAGTGGGGAGTTGACCGGCGGTTTTCCTGTTTTCGCTGCTAACCTGGAAGCTACATGGCGCCCTTCTGGCGGCCCCCCGGGCCCCCCCCCCCCTAGGAGGTGGACCTCACCGCCGGGCCCTGGCCCTCAGTCTCCCGCCACGCCCGCCACCTGGTCTCCAAGATGCTTGAGAAGGACCCGGATAAGCGCATAAAGCTGGAGCAGGTGCGTGGGGGGCGATGGTGCGTGTGTATGGGGGGGGAGAGACAGCGGGGACTGTACATGTATACATACATACGTCTACGTATACATTCGTGCACTAGTGCATGCTGGGTCGCTTTCCCATTGCTTGCCTAAGGTTGCCAAGCGTGGGGCCCCACATACTACCCCCCTGAACCGTCATCACCTCGTGGCGGGTGGTGACGTGTATTGTGATCATGACTAATGAACAGCTTGGTGCCGTACTGCTGTGGGTGTGGGAGAAGTTGAATCCGGAACCCCCGAACCACCCCCACCCCCGACTCGACAGGTCCTGTCCCACCCCTGGCTGCGGCCCGATGGTACGGCACCCGCCAGGGCGCTCCAGGGTGAGTTGGATGGGTGGGAGAGTGAGAAGTTGATTGTACGACAGCCCTTTATGTGTTGACATGCCATGGCCGACTGGCATGCGACTGGAGTGTGTGTGTTTGCTGTGTATTGGCTCGATACGCCTCTCCCTCTCCTTTCCATGATATAGGTAATAGTACCAGGACACCAGCACATTAGCACATAAGCACATTAGCACATAAGCACATTAGCACATAAGCACATAAGCACATAAGCACATAAGCACATTAGCACATTAGCACATAAGCACATAAGCACATAAGCACTTCCCCCTCCTCCTCCCCCTCCCCTCCCCTCCCCTCCCCGCACCAACCCCAGGTGGCCTTCGTGACCGCATCAGTCAGTTCCGAGCACTCAACATGTTCAAGAGGGAGGCGCGGAGGGTGCTAGCGGCCGCACTGCCTGCTGAAGAGGTCTCGGTGAGTATGTATGTATGTATGCATGTATGCATGTATGTGTCTGTAAAGCGGGGAGGGAAGGAGGGACGGGGAGGGTGTTGGTGTTGTTGAAGGAGGTTGCCACCCTCCAAGGAAACGACACCCCCCCCAGGGCGCATCTACATAGGGGCCCTTCCATGGCCGCGCGGCTTGGGGATTTCCTATATGGCTAAGGGAACTTTTAATGAAATTTCCCAAATTTCCTTTCCATTGGCGGGATCGATCGATCGCCGCGTCTGCAAAGGTTGTACAACATCTCACATAGTGCACATCTCACAGTGCACATCTCACATAGTGCACAACCCTAAGCCGTGAGAAGGTCCTAGGAGGGATGTTAGCGGCGCTCCTTGGGGTCGGGCGTTTGGCGGAACGGGCGCACCGCGCGTATACGGCACCTGGGTGTGTATACGGGTCAACGGGTCAACGCAGGAAATAATAATCTTTATTACTCCGCATAAGTATTGCGGTGGTTCAAAATTTGGCACATGGTCTTGAGCATGTACTTATTTTTCCCATTACTCCAGGACTCCCCCCTGGCGGCTCGGGAGACCAAACTTTTGCGGAAATTCCGTTGCCTCCCATCGCCGGTCCGGCAACCTCCTTGTCGGCCGCTTTCCGGCCGTCAAAATAATAATTATCGTAAACTATTTATTATGTGTGCGCCAATGGAACGACCCTCATACTGCCCGTACACAATAACGCCACGACCACCCCTCTCCCTCTTTTTCCCTCTCCGCCCCTTTCCCACTTTGTTTCTCTAGGGTTTGAAGCTGCTATTTGAGAACCTAGACACGGATCAGGACGGGTTGTTATCCGTGGAGGAGCTGAGGGCTGGTCTATCGCAACGGGGGGAGCAGCTGGAGGGTGAGAGGGGGAGGGAAGGAGGGGGGGCCGCAGGGTGTGTGTGTGGGGGGGGGTGGAAGGGGAAGAGAGTTGCGAGGAGAGGCTCCTCCGGACGTGTCCTAGTCACCCTCGTCCCCCCCTCGCCCTTGTTGTTGTTCTGTTTCTGAATTTTTTATTAAATGAAGTGATAACTGTTTTTTTAAACCTGATTAAGGTTTTTGGGTCATTGGGAAAAGTTCCGAGAAAATACGTTTTTAGTACATGAAGATGTTTCTCAATATAACAATCTACAAAAACCTCTGTCTTTCGGCCCCTACCTGGGATATGGGAACATGAACAAAGGATTCACGTTTCTGAGTGTAATAAACACTTCCGCACAGACACACAAACAGACAGACAAACAGACAGACAGACAAACAGACAGACAGACAGACAGGCAAACAGACAGACACACAAACAGACAGAAGACAAACAGACAGACAGACAGACAGACAAATAGACAGACAGGCAGACAAACAGACAGACAGACAGGCAGACAAACAGGCAGACAGACAGGCAGACAAACAGACAGACAGACAGGCAGACAGACAGACAGACGAGCATGGACACCACCGTTCGGTTTGAATGCTCCCTCTCCTTCATGCACACACATACATGCATACATACATGTATGCATGTGTATGTGCATGACACATGACAACATGACAACATGACAACATACTACTGGTAAGGCACGGACCATAGCCCCCGGGAGATCCCGGGATTGAGACCTGTCAGGGTCGAAAATCCTTCCGATGGTGGAAGGTATTGCGCCCCTAGGTGATGGACGGTGGTGACCTGGGACAAAGTTAACCTGCGAGCCGACCAGACTAGAGTTGGGCCGCTGTCGATCCGGCAGATTCCGTTGGATGCTGGTGGTGGGTGCGGAACCTGAGCGATCCACTGAGAAGTTGACTAGGGTGACTAGATGAGGGTGCCCCGAAATACCGGGGAAGGCAGGGTTTCGCAGGGTAGCTGCCACGGGTGAAGATATACCCCCCTGTTTCACACATCATACATGTGCCTTATATGTTTTTTGCGGCGTCTTGCGGCGCCTTTTTGTTGACTAAACCCAATGGATCGGCGTCTTCGCCGTACTGCCCACATAATCCGTACTGCACGACACAGATGCGGACGTCAGGTCGCTTCTGAAAGCGGCGGATCTCAACTGCGACGGTTTTCTGGTAAGAGATTGGTAGTTGGGGGCGTTTCACTGGGCGGTTGGTGGTTTGCGGTTGGAAAGGAAGGAGGGGAGGGGACGGGAGGTGTGCCGGGGATTGTGTTTTGCGGTTTCACTCCCAGCCAGTGGGGTTTGGCGGGGTTGTAGTAAGAAAAGCGCTGGCTGGAGATAGATAGGTGCCGGCGCACACC